GACATGGCAGGATTTTGAATAGCAATAGCACTTAGACTTACATACCACTTCCTAATGCTTTACAGCCCTCTCTAAGCAGTTTACAGAGTCCAACAATCTGGGTCCTCATTTTACAGACCTTGGAAGGATGGAAGGCTGAGTCAACCTTGAGCCGGTGAGGATCGAACTGCCAAACTGCAGGCAGGCAGCCGGCAAAGCAGAACTAGCCTACAGTACTGCCTTCTAACCATGCTATTCTTCTTCAGAAAATGAATGTATTAAGTGGAAAAACAAAATTGTGTTTTAATGTTAAAGCCTGTTATACAGTTCACATATTGCAATGGGGCATAATGTAGGCCAGTGGTGGCGAACCTATGGCACGCGTGCCAGAGGTGGCACTCAGAGCCCTCTCTGTGGGCACGCGCGCTGTTGCCCCACCAGTGTTCGCCAGAGTAGCGAACATGTGGCATTTGGAAGCGACAGGGTAGGAAGTGAGCGAGCAAGCGGCGTTGCCCCCCCTGGGATGCCCCAGAGATGGCGAGGGACTGGCCCCCGCTGCCCTGGCCCCAGCCACGCTCACCCAGTCTGCTGTGACCACAGCAGCCACGCCCACCCAGTGGGTCACGCCCCCTCACCCCCCCTGAGGACACCGCAATGCTGATGCAGCCCTGGCACTTTGCGATAAATAAGTGGGTTTTGGGTTGCAGTTTGGTCACTTGGTCTCTAAAAGGTTTGCCATCACTGATGTAAGCTGTTTGATAATAACCTGAGGCATCCCAATAACAGGGAAAATATATACTCTCTTATCTGGAATAGCTAAGAAGGACTTAAAAGTGTTGAACTCATGGTCTGGGAATAAGATGTAGACAATGTCAAGTAAAAAGAGCCATGAATGCACTATGGTTGGCTGAGAATGGGGAAAAGTCCTACTGTGCTTTAGCATTAAGTTAGGCAAACAAATCACTTTATAGATCAGTATGTGTAAAATCTGACCCATTTCAGAATTAGTTAAACAACATATTTATTATATACTATATAGACTTATTATATTGTTGTCATTATTATAGAATTAATTTGATAGCTATAATGTCTGGAGTTCTGATTTTGCTTTCCTAACGTAATCTGAGAGGAAATTTGGAAAAGACATGATGGTTTGCTTGCATGTTGTCTGATAGAAAATATAGTAAACAATGTTTCTTCACTTTTCTTGCATGAACAAAAAGATTGACAAGCACTTAGTATAGTTGTACAAAACCTTTGAAGACTAGAGTGTCTTATGAAATGAATCACACTCAATACTAAGCGTAGTATTAAGCTTGCATCTTGGGATCCAGCAAGTTCTAAGATAACTTTCTCTTCTCTTGATTGTAATATTACAGAAATGCAGTGGTATAGTGTTAATTTAATTTAAAAAAAATATAACTAAATGATCGGCAACGACCATTTTTAGATGATAGAAATGAACAACCCTCTTTACACTCTGCAAAAGCACCCCCAAGGCATGGTTTCCTGCTTTGCTTTCAAAATACAGTTTTCCTGCGGTTATTGTCTCAAACACTACTGTTTATTTTGCTTGTAGCATTTTAATTTTTCCTAGACCAGTCATATTATTTAATCAACTGCATTATGGAGGCAGAAAACTTCTTCAGCTAAGTTGATGGTTACCATGGTTTCTTATATCTTATAGAGTGAGCAATCCTATTCTAACATAATGATTAAAACATTTATCTAGCAAAGAGAGTGTTGCTGGGTAAAAAAGAAAGCTTTCTTTTAAAAAAATACATTCCCTGCCTTTTCATCACCCTACCCACCCACTCTGTATTTATTTCTTCTTCACTTAATAAGTCAAATGGTGTGCCATTTTGTCATTTCTCCAGGCACTTGAAGTAATTTCCATACTTGGAGCTAGTTTCTGCTGGTTTTGGTTTCTCAAGTTAGTTGAGTGGTATATTGTTTCACCTCTTTTGCAAATGCTTGAGGTAACTGAGGCAAAGCAGATAGCTCAAGAAAAGAAAAATGGTAATTAAAATGCTGTTGGATTTCAAATCAGATATATTCTACATACCAGACAAGTATTATAACAATTGCATTATTTTGAAGGGATAGTATTAAAAGTAATTCTGAAAGAATATTAGAGACCAATAAAATGGCAAGCAAGACATGAAAATGGTAATGGTGTAAACATGTCCTCAGTGTTACATTCTGGCTTTCCAAAATGTCTGTATTGTTGGAAATAAATTTTACTTGAACTGCAATTTGATGCTGTTACAATACATCGCCATCCCCATTCAGAGATTCATACCAACATAGTCCCAGATTCTAATTGTGAAAAATGAAATCATAATATGATGAATTAGCACAGGTTGTGGCTGTGCCTCACATGGAGGCACCCATGTGACCAGACCCATTTCGTTTTACTTTTTTTTGTGGTGATCATTAAGTGCATCACTGCTAAGTGAATCACACAGTTGTTAAGTGAATCATGCGGTCATTATGTTAAATTACGTGGACACCAGCAAAAAACACTGGAAACTAGCAAAAACCATTGCAAATTGTGTTCATGTGACATGGGATGCTGCAACTAGTTGCAAAGGTGAGTCAACTGCCAAGCACCCAAAATGCAGTCTGGTGACCTGCAAGGGGGGGGATATACATTTTATGATGGCCAGAAGTATTTTAGAGACCATAAAAGTCATTGTAAACTCCAAATGGTTATAAAATGACCAGTTGTAAGTTGAGACTATCTGTACCATTTTACTCCATGTGTTATTAGTAGAGAAGTTCCAATCTGTTAATTTTTATTTAAAAAAGCAATGTAGGAAATTTAATAACCATTCATATTTACATTTTGTATCATATGGGAAATTTATATACAGCTCCTCTAATTTATGTAATTGTTAATATAAATTGCCAAAAATAAACCCTTTATTTAAAATACAGATATGCCCTGTTTTTATTATTTGACATAAACATTTCTCTTATAAAAGCTGTTAAATATATATAAAGGTGGTCCTCAAGAATTACTGTAACCGAGCCTGCCCATTACAATTGCATGCCATGATGGCCATTAAGAGAAATGGCCTTACTTAATCACTCCGCCCTCTGCTCTCCCTGAGGCAGCCATTAAACAAAACCGAGGGTCATTAAACTCCACCTGATTGGCACAAGCTATATCCATTCTTGTGTGGATGTGTGCCTGCAGGGGCCCAATGGGGTGGAATAGGTGGGTGGATAAGCAATACAGCATCCCTGAAGTTAGGCATAAGGGCAAATGACTGCAGGAGTATTGCAGCCACGGTAACTTTGAAACTGGGTCGTAAGTAGCTTTTTGGGACTTTGTTATAACTTTGAACAGTCACTAATATTTGTTCTGAACCAGAATCAAAGTCATTACAGTCACTGACCACAGCATTTATCACATACCTACTCATTACATTATTTTTGTTATCACATGTCAAGGCTATCTTTGAAACCCAACGCTCAGCATACAAGAAATACAGATTAACTAACTTGGGAGATTAACTCCATTTAATTCTAATAGTTGCCTTGTCCCTAAAATAGAGTTTTGTACTCAAAACGGCAAGCTGTATTAAAACCATAAAACAGTCCAGCAAAGAATCTTCAGGTGAGAGAACAAGTCTTCCCTTACAAGACTTGATCTCAATTGTCACTGAGCGAGGAGAAAAGAGTGTTTCAGTATTTAAGTTAGGTAAAAAAATTTCACATAGTGGTTATGTATACATCTTTTCACTGGCAAAATATAAAGATAGGCAGGAAATGTTCATTTTAATATTCTGTTTTTCCTAATATGAATTTAGTTACATACATATTTAGGCAATTTATGGATGTGTTCCCTGATTAATGCCCCCTGATTGAACACTAGTACAGCAATAGTACAGCAATAGCTGTACAGTAGCTGTAAGTAGGAAAAAAATTCAATTCCTTAACTTCCTTTGAGAAACAGCTTCTTCCTGTAACCTAAATAAATCTCTAATTATTACAGTCTTGCACATTATGCTTTATTCTGGTGTTTAAAAGATTGATGTTAGACTGAATTTTAGAAATACATTCTTGAACTACCAAAATAAACATTTTAAAAACTATTGTCGTCAAGCAGCATTTAATACTGAAGCAAGAAGTCAAAAATTATTAAACATTAACCACAAAATAAATACAGTATGAAAATAAAACTTCAGGAGATGTTTAAGCAATACAAAACGGATAAGGAAAAGTTTTATCAGACCTTCTATTGTACGACAGTGCCTCAAAGCTGCCCTTACAAAAGTTTTGGAAACTTGAACGAAAACCCCTCTGACAGGACAGCGTAGGTGCTTACTCGTTTGATAAATGTATATGCTCGTTAGAATAAGTTCCGCTTAGTATAAGAGAATTTAGCCCTAAGTAAATATACCACAGATGAATCTTGTGCGTGTATTTTTGTCCCTAAGATCTTACTACGTAGTAGTTATGTGGAGAAAGATAATGAAAAAGTATAATGTTCTCACATCATATAAACACATGGCTTACAATTCTAACAATTCACCTTGACAATATTGGAACATGGTTACATAATTTTTTTCCAAGTGCAAATATTTGTTCTGAATCAGAATCAAAGTAATTACAGTCACTGACATAGCATTTATTATTTATACTTCAAAACTAGGAATTGGATGGAATACATGCCTATGTATTAATATTTCTATCTCTTAAGACCATGTCTATACTGAGCTCACATATGATCAAAGCAAATCTTACAGCTGATGACTCAAACTCAGAACAAGAAACAAGAAACAGCTGCGATCACACACACTACTCCCAGAAGCACGAAGCTGAAGACACCAGCCTGAAGATGACGAATGTGACTTCGTCGAAACGTCGCCAGGACACTTCCAATTTTACGCGGGAGAGAACCCGAATGACCAAAGACCTACATACAAACACCCGCGAAAACCTCAGGAAACATATATATATATATATATAATTTTAATGAAATGATAATGATATCAGAAAGAAAGACTTACCTGTGGGCAGGTAAATGGTGATATTGTTGCAGAAATCTGTGAAGCAGCATTCTGTCCTGGTTACGTTCTTTGAACCATGGCAGAAGATCTGTGCCTTCAGCTGCGGTAGGGAAACACATGCCTTTATTACTTCTTGCCGACCATTCGTTAGCATGACAGAAGTCCAACATGCTCCCTCTGTTTCACAAGTGAAGTTTGTTTTTTCACACAACTGGCACACACATGTTAAGCCTGAAATGATAATTAAGTCTTTGGTAGACAACAATGCCAAACAATACATAGAACATTCCCAACCTAGTCCACATTACTTGAGGCTACACGGCACTTGGAGAGAGTTGTCTGAAAAAGGAAGAGTACGGCGAAATCATTTAGATTTTTAAACAGATGTAATACACAGGTAGTCCTCGACTTACAAACGGCTCATTTAGTGACCGTTCAAAGTTATAATGGCACGGAAAAAAGTGACTTATGGCCATTTTTCACAGTTACGACCTTTGTAGCATTCCTATGATCGTGTGATCAAAATTCAGATGCTTGGCAACTGGTTCATATCTATGATTGTTGCTGTGTTCCAAGGTCATGTGATCACTTTTTGTGACCTTCTGACAACCAAAGTTCAGTGGGGAAGCCAGATTCCTTTAACAACCAGGTTATTAACTTATCAATTGCAGTGATTCACTTAACAACTGAGGCAAGAAAGGTCATAAAATGGAGCAAAACTCACTTAATGAATGTCTCACTTAACAACAGAAATTTTGGGCTCAGTTATGGTCGTAAGTCAAGGACTACCTATATGTTAAATAACATGTTTTTTTAAAAATATATTTTATTAGATTTTATATGGGTAGGGAAAGGGAGGGGTCAGTGCGGGTACAGGAAAATCGGGATAAAGGGGACAGGGTGTAGGTAACAACAGTGAATACGTAATTCAGCGAACAAGCTGTCGTCCGGGTCTTCATATTGAGTATTATTGTTTATATAATACTAGACATTTATAAAAATAAATCGGTATAGTTACAAGTAACATTTGATAAAACAATAATATTCCTTTAAATAATTAACATAGTTAATAGTATAACAACTATTTCCAATAATCAACCTTAATACTTAATATAATAAAGCTCTAAAAATCTCTTCTTATTCTAACATGTTTCAACCCACTGATACAATTTTCCCCAGGTTTTATAAAAGATTGAATCTTCTTTCTCCTTCATCTCTAATGTTAATCTATCCATTTCTGCACAATCTAGGATTTTCAAAATTATAATCTGATCTGATGGTAGGTTTTCATTTTTCCAAAATTGGGCGAATACTATTCTTGCAGCTGTTAATACATGTAATATTAAATAATCATTTTCTTTACCATAATTAGGTCTTAATATACTAACAGAAACAGTTCTGGTTTAAATTATATCTGGATTTTCATCATCTTTTCTAACCATCTATGAATCTTGTGGATGCAGTTCGAGACTACAAAAGCCATAAACAAGGGAAGAAAGGAAGTAATACTTTATCTAAATCTTGTTTAAAAATGAAAGGTGAACTATGTTTGCAGGATATATGGCTAGAGATGAATCCAGGAAAGACACAATATACCTTTTACTCTAACAAGCATAAATCTTGGTCAAGAATAGACATGATATGGATCTCCCATGACCTGAAGACTATGATACAGGAAGTTGAAATAGAACCAAATATTTGGGCAGACCATAACTCGATTAAAATGACATGGAAAGGATCTAAGAAAAGGATCTAAGAAAAGATTGAGATGGTCTCTGAATAAATCTATTTTGAAGGAAAAAGAATTTTTACAATTAGCAACAAAAGAAATGGAATTTTTTTTAAGATTAATAAAAAGGAAGATACTTCTATTCAAAATGTTTGGGACACGGCAAAAGCATACTTTAGAGGTTTAGCTATAACCTATGTTGCTAAAAAGAACAAAGAAAAGAGAATCACACAGTCCAAATTGAAAAAACAGCTTGGTATATTGGAGCTGGAATTACAAACTGATCCACAAAAGAAAAATTTGAAGATACAAATGGATTTAATAAAACATAAATTAAATCTACTTGAGACTGATACTATGGCACAACAGATTATACGAGCCAAACAGAACTTTTTTGAAAATGCTAATAAACCTGGTAGATGGCTTGCATATAGACTGAAAAAAGAAAGAGAAAAAGAATCAATAAGTAAATTACTGGGTGAAAAGGGTGAAATACACTGTCATAATGATGGTATCAAAAAAATTGTTAAGGCCTTTTATGAACTACTTTACAAGGCTGAGACGATCTCTGAAGAGGCAATTCAAGACTATTTAAAAAAAGCAAATCTTCCAAAAATATCAGAAAATATGCAACAGAGGTTAAATGAGAAGATATCAATGATGGAGATCATAGAGGCAATTAAAAGACAAAAGAAAGATAAGACACCAGGGCCGGACGGACTACCTGCAGAATTTTATGTAGCTTTACAAGATACTGAGACTCCTTTTCTGAAGGACTTGTGTAATGAATTTTTTATACAGACAAAAATTCCAAACTCATGGACTGAAGCTAATATTACCTTGATACCTAAAGAAGATACAGATCTTACACAAATTAAAAACTACAAGCCAATATCGTTACTAAATGTGGATTATAAAATCTTTGCTGCAATTTTGGCAGAAAGAATGAAAAGCTTTTTAATAGAATTTATTCACCCAGACCAAAATGGCTTTCTTCCTAAAAGACAGATAAAGAACAACTTAAGGATTATTTTAAATGTTTTGGAGTATTATGAAAATCATCCAGGGAACCAGATGGCGCTCATATTTCTTGAC